AGGGGGTTGTTGAGTATTCACAAAAACTAGCCTATGGTCAATGTCGAATCTCTGCTTCCTGTCAGTAGTTAGTCTACTGTAGAACATTGAGCCAGGATCTCATGCTAAGCTTGGTATAAGTTATAGAAACAGTCTTATATATAATTGAAGAGCTCTCTCTATATACTAGTATACAAAAAGAGGTCATTTTGTTTGTGGTTTATGATGTTCCTAGGTTGCCGTCTCAAGGACGCATTCCACGCATCTACTTTTTTCACAGGCAGTAAATATTTTTTTTTAGTTTTCCTAAAAATAAACATATGGTCTGAAGTTATGATATAACATGGGTTACTGCAGAAATCGTCAGTGGGCAACAAACGAAGCGGAGAAGACTTGACGACATGATCCCAAGGCCAGACAATAAAATCTCATGTACTAGTAATTTATACGGACTTCAAATACGTTTTGTTGAATTGTCAAATGTTACCGAGACGTGGCTATTCATTGACGATTTTCTAGTCCTCAAGTTACAAGTATGATATTGCAATACTGTACAACCATAACTGTTTTAATAAACAAATAATGAAAACCAACACGAGGCCAGGTTATTCATGTTATTATCTAGAGAAGTCTGTTCACAAATAGTTAAGTTCTATGTCAAATCAAGGGTGACTGGGGAATAGAAGTATGGTCACCATTGGTCTTCCTCCGACCGGCGGTAAAACCCTCGTCAAAGTGGGGCGTCCGTTTGGCTGTGCGGGATGTACAAATTTGCAGCCACGTCCGGTCAGAATGGGGACGTTAAATCCAATGCCTCGTGTAAAGAGAGTGCCACGCTCTTTGCACGTTAAGAACCCTTGCAACAACTCTTTGAGGGGTCCGTAGGTGACCTGTTGCAAGGCTAAATTTCTGTCCCTATCCAATATACCCTCATTTCCCGTGGCAGTCTAAATTTCTCCGACCTTAATCCCTTAATCTATTACAGAACCTACCTATTGTATTTATTGTGAACTTGTTCTCGTCCTGAATATGCATGAAATATTTGCCACTGGACGTTAAGCAACCAACAATCAATCATCAATCAATCATGTCAAATCAAAGACATGTATATTCTCTGACGACAACATCGTGAATGTACAACACCAGTTTCTTAGAAACAACGGTCAATGAATTGAACGGTGAGCTGAGGGCGAAAGCCCGAACCGTTCAACAATTTTCTACACTGTCTAAATAATCATACTAGTTGGGTCAACGCCTAATGACATTTTTGTTCGGTTATGCTAACCGTATTGAGTATATAATTAATGTAACGCTAAACACACAAATGTCCTAGATTTCACTTCTCAATACCTAACGTCAAATGTTCACGTTTACTCCACCCACTGACCGCGTATTTGACTCTCACTCTTAATGTGTATGCTCCACCAACTGATCGCGTAACCTGATGATCTATTGATTTTCCATGTAGCGCATAGTTGATGTGTTCTTATGCCAGCTAAAGATGGATCCTGGTAAAAGACGATGTCGATACAACTTATAAAGAAATCGAACAAAAACGTTTAAAAATGAGTGCTATAAAAGAATAAGGCAGCAATACCGTACAACCATAGTTGGTTTAATAAACAAATAATGAAAAACAACACGAGGCCAGGTTATTCATGTTACTGTCGAACCTTTGATACTTATCTAGAGAAGTCTGTTGACAAATAGTTAAGTTCTATGTCAAATAAAAGACATGTATATTCTCTGACGACAACATCGTGAATGTACAACACCAGTTTCTTGGAAACAACGGTCAATGAATTGATTCCATTTGTGAATCTGTCTCCAAGAATTTAATATCAACTGCCGAAAAGTGTTTTTTTTTAAATCTCGTTCTAGCTGTTTCGTAAGGGTACATATCTTCTATGTATTAACAGAGACATATAATATTATACAGTATGCATTATATGTCTCTGGTATAAACGATATACTGATTGTATGGTGTCACAGGGAAAACTCTTATGTATTTTTCTATTAAGAGTATGAATAAAAGAAAATATGGAGAAAATGTCCACGAGAGAAAGCAGCCCAGCAACACAAGTCATTCGTGGTCTTGATGGATAAGTCTTTTATTTTTTAAAATTTACATCAATATACATGTATAAAGTTTTACAGGCCAAGACTATAAGAGATATATCTGTCATTCGTCATCTCTGATTTTTTAATAGAAATGCATGAAAAGGGATGTGAGATAAAGAATGTTGTGCTATTTGAAAATAAGATTTATAGTTTTTGGGGATTATTTCCTAATTGGTTGACTGGTATAGAAATAGGGTCACCTTCGTCTCTGTCGATCCCTACCTATTGTTTAAATTGTTAATCTGATTTCCCCCTGGACATGCATGAAATATTTCCCACTGGACGTTAATAATACAACAATGCATCAATAAATCCAAATTGGGTTTAAGAAAAACTCCAACATGGCTATTTTGGGATTCCAGACATTAGATTCGTGGTCGCAATTCTTTTGGTATCACTCAGGGGTAGTGGGTGGAAAATTAGCCAAGGATCTTATTTTCATTTCTCTTTATTATTCGTAGGACCAGCTTCAATTAATTTCGATAAATAAATTTAACAGTTAGAAAATGTAAGATAGCTTGGGCACACTATAATGTCTGAACATTGTAACATTTGGTACAAGGAACTTAAAAGTCCTTCATTTTTTTCTTGCCAGTGGTCTCATGGAAGTATGCTGGCTTCAGGCGTGAGAAGTAACAAGTTTGATTCATTTCAAGGATTTTCAGTAAAATGAACCCCAATATATCCATCCATTTATGACTAATTTACCCTCGAGCATAAGAGGTAAAAAGGTTGATTCATTTCAAGGATTTTAAATCTGGTGTTTTCTGCTTCTCTACTATGCACACTACTAGTAATCTCAGGAAGAAAAGATGCATGGTATTTGTCTGTGAACTATTACCTTGAATACTAGTTGTTAATATTCAGCTAAGACTTCTGCATAATACAAAAGTGTTCACTATATTGCTGGGTAACTGTCACTGATGTATACCCAACATCTGCTTCCACCCATGTTCATGTCAAATTTTGAATTTAATTGATCGAAAGACTGATAGATGGACTTTTTACATATAAAAATATATACTGGTACATGTACTAGTATATATTTACACAAAAGTGTATATGCTCAACACCTGAAGTAATTTTATAGCATATTGATTTACAATCATTAATCGTTATCCAACCAAGTGTTAGTCACAAATCCTCTTACCATATACAGACACTTATTGAAATTAAGGGTGTTCAAACAACAGTTTTAAATATTGTTTGTTTACTTTGCTTTGACATTATAAGATCTGGTTTAGTTATTTACTGTTGGATTTTTTATCCTACATCTAACAACTTTTTGCTATCAGATTTCCTCCCTTGATACACTAAAAATCGATTTGCTAGTGAAAGAAGGAATATGAATTGAGTGTATACAAGAAAAATAGCCTAATAAAATACTACTTAACAACTATTTAGACATGTCAATTTAGAGCTTGACACATTGTACAAACACTTGTCTATTGTTGAAGACCATAGTTGACCACTAAATATCTTTTTTGTTTTTATTGTGTCCATGGTTTGCTATACCCTACTTCTCCCGTTAATCATTGCCAAAGATACAGCACCTCTATGTTGTTTTCGGTCATTACACTTCAACCATTATTTTGAAAGTTCAAAGCCCTTACCTTGATCAACAAATTATGAAATTCAATTTGACAATCATTGATAAATGTTACCTATGTCCAGGGTAAATTAATCATGAGTGGATGGATGGATTGGGGTTCATTTTTCTAAATCTTCAATTTTCTGTGTATGTAGTCTTCTTCTTGTTCAATCTTCAGTTTTGTGTGTAGTGTTTATGGACTGCTTTTTTGTTTGTCTTTTTTTCACGTTATTGTAACTCTTATCTTCAATTTATGGTTCTTGATTGCAAATTGGTATCTTTTCCCCTTCAACTTGAGAACAAATTTTCATTTTATTTTTCAGTATATGTGTTCTGATTTCTGAATACATGTAGGTATAAGATTTTGTGCATATATTTACTCATAAACACCATATTTTCATTCAAGTTCATTCCCCTTCTGTAAATCTTTCTCCAGTTTAAAATACCATGAAGGTTTTCAATTTCTTGATAACATTACAAGGATACAGAAAAATTTGAAGTCTAGTAAAAAAAAAAATTGTTCATTAGTCTATAATTGACATATATTTGTAATTATTATTTCTTGTTCTGATAATGCGTGTCATTATTTAGTACTGGTGCATGTATTTTCAACACTAGAAATCAATTTTTTTCTGTGCAGAAAAATTAATCAATGAATGATTGTTTCTTCAAGGAGAAATTAAGTTCCCATTGAAAGAACTCCATAGAATGAGGGAAATGCTCTTGTATTTATTCAACAGAACAGTTCACTTTCCAAGAATTTAAATACCCTGACCAACACCAACTAATTCTCGTGAAAGGTTTTATTTCCTTCACAATAATGGTAACAAATCACACAGATGCTATCCGACCAATATACAATCTAAAGCATACTGGTATATAAAACTATAAATAAAGTTTGCGAATTAACTACAAAAACAAAAAATGAGCTGTGAAATTGTCATGGTTTTTTGTATTTTGTAGGCACTTTCTGGTTTGTTTGACCTGTCATGTTCTGTTCCTATTTCCCAATCTATCAAGGACCTAGGTCCTGAACAGCAGAAGTAAAAATCATCAATAACAACATATCAAAATTTGGAAAGCATTGGTTGAATGGTTCATAATTTATTACACAGAAACAAAAAAGTGACGTTTCAAAATCTATCAAGGACCAAAACTCCTGAGCAGTTAAAACTGTTGAGGTAAATCCTAAATATACTTCTACCATTGGCCTTTAACTAGCCAGTGGCTTTTGTAAAGAGATCAACTACAACGAAATAGGCCACAACTACCAACAAAACAGAAAACTTAAGCTAATAAAAGATCTGAGTAAGATTGTAAAAATGATAATTTTATTGTACAATGAAGTAAAATCAAGATCATGATTTAATGTTTTTGCTGATTGTTTGTAATTTTATCTATTCCCTTCTCTTCTGTTTACTTTTACTTCCGTCATAGTCTCTACTCGATCGTGAATCTTCTCCCGCCCGCTTCTCACCACGTTTAGCTGTTTTCAAGAACTCAGTCAAATTGAAAGGATCTTCTTCATCAGCCTGTTCAAATTGAACTGGTCCTTCACGTCTACGGTTCCTATCTGTACCGGCAAACTCCCGGTCAGGAACAAACCTGAAAAAAAAAGAAAAAGCCACTATAAACAGATGATAAGGTTAGCAAGTCAAGTAGTTACTTAGAACATTTATAATTTTTACTGACCACTGAAAAAAAGCAAGATAAAACAGGAAGTCAATGAGTCATGGACGTGAAAATACATCACAAGGTATTGTATGCTCTGATTTGTAAGTTCTGAGTAAAATGAAACAACAGTTTCATGGGATATATGGACAAATAAATGTAAAGCACTTTATCTGGCCTCCTTTACATTTCTAGGAACATCATTGGTTAAAAGCTACCACGTGGAGACCGTGTATATTTCATATGGGGTTAGTAGGCAGGGCTTATTCTAATACATGGTTAGTACCGGTAGTGGTTTTACGTCCCTTTATAAAAACAACACAGTGTTGAGGAAAAATCTGAAACGTTTCAACAAACAAAGAAATTGATGATGAACGATTGAAATGAATGCAGAAAACACATTAAAAACTAACAAGTTGTTATTGTTGGCATTTGTTTTTGTATAGATCAATGGAAGTAAGTTCTTTATATTGAAGACTTGATCACTTTGATTGGCCACTAGTCTAAATACCACATGTTAAGATAGTCGGTAAGATAAATTTGTTACACAGTGTGCTAATGTGCTTCGCTCTCACCCCATATGGAATTTACTGACTCCATACCCCATATATATCGTATTAGGTCACTACCACACTATGTAACTAATAATACCCCCTTCCTCCTAGGCAGGGTACAAGAATGAGAATGCTATCTATTTCTTAAACAATTTTATTGCAACTTTCATTTTCTGAAATCATTGTGAAATAGCTTTAAATTTCATGCATCCTCTATATCCACTTAATATTATTGTTTTTAAAATTTTGTTTGCCATATTTCGATTCAAACTGCCATGTACTCTGAAGTCTTCAACTTGGTAGTATGAGTAAAAGCAAGGGTCCGGAAACGGTCATATTTGCCAGTCATGTCCTAAGATGAAACTATTTGTCCTAAACGAGTAATTGGGATTTAGGACAAATTTTATTTTTTTACAGAAGTAATTTCAGTCATTTCATTGACTCAATGTTTGAAATCGGATTTCTTAATCACCATTTTGCACTTGTGATCACTTGTTTTTGTGTATAATCCCTTTCCTTTAACAAAACTGCCACTACATTAGTTTGATAATCCTGAGGGCCCTCCTAATATCTATATCAATGCCTCCGGGAAACATTGGCTAATGATCGCTAATCACTTTTTACCTGTGGTTTTAATTCACACCTGACAGTGATCACAAGCTCAGAATAATATCTTTAAAACATTAGTTCCCTGACAAGTGTAATCATTATTTATTTACTTTTCATCAAAGACAGTCATCAATTCTGATTTAAAAATTAAATCTAAATTTACGTAGAAAAAAGTATTTTTTCATGAGTAACACATGTGCTTTATTTACTATGTAATACGCATGCGTGAAATTGTCTTCAGCAAATATAATATTTAAATCGTAGAATGCAAATTGATTTCATGCTAAATTAAACCAGTGCAACTATTATCTGTTATATTCAAACACTTTTAAAGGTAATAAAATAAAAAAGCCATAAAAAGCCGGTGATTTCCTGTCAATTTGATAAACAAAACAAATCCCGGAAATGAATCCTGAATTATTCGTACTTTAAAATATCGCAAACTTCCGGTTTTAACTTTTGTCAAATCGAAAGAAACGTAAGCAATGTCTGAGAAATTAACCATTTTGAGCCATTAAAATCATTTCAATTTTAGACTGTTGCCTTCCCTAAACTGTCCTTCATGGTAATGGTTAGACATTTACTTAGTAAATGCGATGAAACAGCAATACAAGTTCGTCATGTTCGTTGATGCTATGAATATAGTCAAGTTGATATCGAAAATTTGAAAAGGGGCACCAACTTTTCAAACATCTCAAAATGACCGAAATTGTCTGGAAAAATTTCCGGATCCTTGAGTAAAAGTTAATTTTACTTTATTGATTTTTCAGCATTTTACATTATCAAAACCCTCTAAATAACCCAGTTTATTTCAATCTTTGACAAGCAACAAACTACCACACAGCATCGCAGAAAAATATCATCTAACCTGTTTGTTTTCATTAATGAATCAAAGTCGTCTCCGTATATGTCTTTGTCCACATTCTTTGATGGTCTGTAAATGTTGTTGGCTATGGAACTCTCCTGTCTGAAGGGTTTGTCATACACATTATATGCATCATCTTCATTGAAACCACTATCCATGCCCTGGAATAAATAGAAAATTACTGAGTGAAAACAAATATGTTAAAGTAGTACACTTCAAAATATACAAATTAAGTATAGGGTAGATAACTTTGGGTTTTATGACGGTGTGATCTTTTTATACTGGGTGACAACTACTTGTACAGATCTTTGAAGCCCAGTATCTTTATATATTGATCATCAAGTACCTGTACAGTTCTTTGTAGCCCAGTATTTCTATAGTAAAGGTTTTATACTTACCACAATTATTTACAACAAGCATTCTGAGAGTATTGCATGGCAATACATAGTCCCCTACCAGGTAAAAATTCATTATACAGGAACAAAATGCTAACTTGTTCTATAACTTGTCATGGTGTAAACAAAAAGAAAATATCAAGTCAATATCTTCAAGCATGACTAAAAACAGTTTGGAAAACTGAATATATTAGTGAATTTTTTTAAGTCCAAGGACCATAACTCTGCACAAAATTATCAGACCGAAACAAAAATTTGAACTTGATCTGTAACTTGTCATGATAAAACTATATACCAATTGTCAATCAATATCTTCAAGCATGATGAAAAAAAGTGTGGAAAACCTATAACACTGTAACATTAGATATGATTAATAGTTCTCTAAAATTAGATATGATGTAATACAATGTATATCTATTTTCAAATTACAATCAAATATTTTTTCTTTCATTTGTCACAAACTAATATAGATTTGTAACTTATCTATAAAATGTCAACAACTTTTATCTACACAATGTAATGTAATGAAATATATACCTTAATAAAAATAGATTATTATCTAATTAAAGGATTTCACTTAATAAAAAAAATATATATATATATGTAGCATTCAGAAAATTAGTTTATACAAAATAACATATAAACCTGCCACAAAATTCCTCAAACAATTTACCATTGAATGTCTCTTCAAAAATAAGTTATCTCCCTTTGTACAGATTATATGGTTTAACATAGTACTCTAACATTAGTTATGGAGTTTTTTTATGGACCATAACTCTGGACTAAATCATCAGACCGGAACAAAATTCGAACTTGATCTATAACTTATCATGATAAAACTATATACCAAATATTAAATCAATATCTTCAAGAACGAAGAAAAAAAGTGTGGAAAGCTGAGTTGCCGGACTGACGGATGGACAGACGGACAGAGTGCAAACCTAAAGTCCCCTTCGACTTCGTCGGTAGGGGACTAAAAAGGAAAAAATTACATGGTAAAGATATGTAAATAGGTAATTATTTTTGCAGGTTTGTGGTTTCAGTTATTCCAACAATATAACTGAATACTTCAAAACAAAGCATATGACCCTGAACTCTGACCTTGATATAAATAAAGTTCATCCTTTTTTCTTAAAAAATATTGTTTCATATTTCCCGAGGTCTGGTTCAAGAGTTAAAAGGTAAAGTGTCCCTAAGGTGTAATACAGATTAACAAATGTGTTTAACTATATACCTTTGTTGCATGGTAAAAATCCAGTTTCAAACATCAAACTCATGTATATATATTACATTACCTTAGTTGTATTAAATAATCTTTGATCAAACATGGTTTCCTGGTTACCAGCACCAGTGTTGGGCATGCCCAGAGCTATCTTTTCACTAATATCCCTTTCTCTTTCTCTCTGTAGTCTAGATCTGGAAATATAATTTATGTATAATTAATGTCAATCAAAACTGATCGAATACATTGCACTATACCATATGATGAAACATAAATCCATCCTGGAATGGGGACATGACTTTACATTAAGTGAATGTATATCAACTTGATAAATTCTGACAGAGCAGTAACAATTGTCCACACAGAGAGTAACTTCAGACTCTCCTGTTGTGAGTGAGTTTCAATAGTTCTCCACTTACCATAGTAAAATTTAAGTTTTTCAATATGCAAGCTTTAGCAAGCGTTAAAATCTAAAATTCAACTAGAACTGTTTTTGAGCAGAACAAATATCCCCCTTTCCAAAATATCGATTTTAAAAAATATATTTTCAAAGTAATAATAGGCATGCTAATATGTATTTCTATTCTAATCTAATCATCAATAAGAAACCCATATTTTTGCTTTTGGATTCATAGAAAATAATTTAATATAATGATGTTTAGTTTGAAATTTCTTGGCAGGTGTAATTCTTTTAAAAGGTAATGATACTTATGCTGAAACCAATGACTTCAAGGGTGAATTTCATAAATACTTTTTTTTAAATACTTTAAAAATTTCTAAGTACAAAAGTGCATAACTCCAGGGAAATGTCATCCTCATATTAAGATCTTCCAATGTACAAAGTTTTATGACTATCTGATGAAGTATAAAATGAGGAGTTGCATCCCAATATTGCAAACTGAATGATATAGAAAATTTCTTTGTTCAAAGGGGCAATACTCTGGAATTTGTCAACAAACCAGAATACACTGCTAATATGTTCATTTTCAGGTCAGGATTTTACAATGCAAAATGTTTCATGAACATCTGATGATTGTTAAGTTCGGAGGGAATAATTCTGAAATATTTTAATGGCAAAAAAAACCTTTGTGCAGCAAAGTTGCCACATAAACTGTAATTGTAAAAAGTTTGGTTAAAATTGGACAAAGGACTCAAAATTTAGTTTGGACAGACAGATTCCTATAAATCCCCCCAAAACTTTGTTTGTAGACCTCTTGAACTCTTTGTTTTTTTTGTGTTATTAGGTTGCCGTCTCATTGATGTATTAGCCTCATCTCTTTCTATTATTATTTTCCTACCAATTAAATTTCTTCAGAAATATAACTTTGGTGGGTATCAAAGTGTTCTTAAGATTTACCTTTTATCTGGAGCTGCTCTCGATAAATTTCTATCTCTTTGTCTTTCTCTCTGTCTATCTCTTCTTAAATCATCTCTTTCTCCAAGATCTTCGTTCTTATCTTTGTCTGCAAATAGATTAATTAACTTAAATCCAAAGGGAATATACCTATGCGTTCATGATAGTTCTAATATGGCATCCTGTTTTCAATGTTTAAATAATACAGACAGAAACTGTTAGCAATTTACTGTCGTGACTTTCGCTAGTAGAAATTAATGTTTAACCCCGCTGCATTTTTGCGCCTGTCCCAAGTCAGGAGCCTCTGGCCTTTGTTAGTCTTGTATCATTTTTAATTTTAGTTTCTTGTGTATAGTTTGGAGTTCAGTATGACGTCCATTATCACTGAACTAGTATACATATTTGATTAGGGGCCAGCTGAAGGACGCCTCCGGGTGCGGGAGTTTCTTGCTGCATTGAAGACCCATTGGTGGCCTTCGGCTGTTGTCTGCTCTATGGTCGGGTTGTTGTCTCTTTGACATTCCCCTTTTCCATTCTCAATTTTACATATAAATTAACCGATTATGTCATACTAGGATCTCATATATAAATTGACAATCAAAGTTACATATCACAAAATGGTTGCCTAGTCAGCTAGAAAGGTTTAAACGTATATAAAGTGTCTGCGAAAGTTTTACAGTAACTTTTTTTGTTTCAGTAAAATCACTTATAGCCATCCTATATCATGTGCATATTAAAAGTCCCCTGTTTAAGTTCTTCTGATTCATATGTACATTTCTACCATCGTACTTAATGAAAAACATGGCTTCTTCATTTGATTAAAGATTATTTTAGGCTAATTTAAAACTCTCTAATAAAGTTTGATAGATTCACAAGTTTTCATTATTCATTTTCTTGCAAAATAGAAAAGTGTTACACAGCAAATACATGCCAGGCTCAAACCTACAACCTGTGATCACAGAAGAAAAAGTAAAGTAACTATTTATAAAATATTCAAAACAAGGAATTAAACATACGATCTCTACTCCTAATGCCAGCTCTCTCTTCCCTAGCTTCCTGGGCCAACTGTCTTAATTTTTCTTCCTTCTTTTTCTTTTCTTCCTGAGCTACCATTTCATCAATTTTTACTCTCATCTCTACTTCTTCTCTGGCCTAAGAGTAAAAAATATCAAAAGAATGAGTTCTCATTTTGAAAAGGTGTTAAATTTAGTCTGTTAAACTTAACTTCACAGTATTTGCAATTCAAATGATAATAAACTGCTTCGCTGAGCGCAGCTGGATACGCCCGTAGAGGTCTAACCCTGAACAGTTGGGGCAAAAATGGACACAATATTCAAGCTTGATACAGGTCTGAATTTGGATTGTAATTAAATATTTGACATACATCTATTATAGGTTTCTGAATAAATGTAGTCAAAGAACTTGAAATTGGTTATATGAATTGAATTTATATTCAATTAAAGATTTCTTGCTGTTGTGCAATACACTGTGCTGTTGCGCAATACTTAGTAAATCTGTTGTCAGACTATAAACAAATAAAATTTATAAAATTCTAAAGGGAGCTTACATCAATAGATATAAACAGTTCACCAAAGTTTCATACGAATTGCTGAAAGCATTTTTGAGTTTTTGTCTGAAAACAGGAAAATCCCCCCTTTTTTAATGAATAAACCCCATAATTCGGAAATGTAAAATCTAAAATTTATAAAAATCTAAAGGGAGCTTACATCAATAGATATCAACAATTAACCAAAATTTCTTGCAAGTTGGTGAAAGCATTCTTGAGTTATTGTCCGAAAACTGGAAAATCCCCCTTTTTTTAATGAATAAAATCCCATAACTCGGAAACGTTAAATCTAAAATTTATAAAAAAGAAAGGGAGCTCACGTCAATAGATATAAACAATTCACCAAAGTTTTAAGCAAATTGGTTAAAGCGTTTTTGAGTTAATGTCCGACATGTTGAGGACGGACGGACGGACAGACGGACGTACAACGGTATACCATAATACGTCCCGTAAACGGGCGTATAAAAAAGAATTGAACATAAAATATCAAGTTGCTAGGAACAAATTTTCAAAGGGCTTAACTAATATGTTTCATGGAACCTTTCTAACGATTAAATTACATAATAATTTTTTGTTTGCTGAAAAAGGTAAACAATTCATCAGTCTTTTGTTTTTTATGTTGTGTTTTGTATACTGTTGTTTGCAATGGTGTTTTCAGTTTGTTTTCGACTTATGAGTTTGATTGCTCATTTGGTATCTTTCACAACTCTTTTGCACTAAATTTTGTAATAATTTCCATATGAAAAATAAGGTACCTGATTTATGAAATATGTATAACTTATAAGACGTTTTTATAGCAGAAAGAAACTTTGACTTCTGTCTGTAAAAATGCAAAAAATTATTCAGAAACAGGTGAAAATGCCACACATTGTTCTGAAACGAGTAATAATGCTAGATAACTCAGAAACTGGTTAGAAAATATTTCATATACATATAAATGTTATTTTAGGATTACCTTTCTATCTGCTATATACAAAGCTTCTGCTAACTTGGCGAAGTTTTCATTGATATGTACACCTTGTAACCCTCTTCCATCAGCTGCCAATCTTTTATCTAGAGGTATTGTGTATCCCTACAATTAATACAATACAATATATACCTGTACTTATTTTTGGCAGTCTGGTTAGGAATTGAGTTTTAAATTTCTATCACCAGCTTATACTAGCACTATAAATGCAGGAATCAGTATTAATTATGTATTTTATAATTTACTAAAATATACTATAGTCAACATTCAGAATTAATGTAAATTCTATATTTTTCAAAACTGCTAAAATTATCAGATCATGTGATTTTTGGCAAAAAAAAACCCATAATATTTACATGCTAGAACAGTGAAATCTGCCTAACTGAACCCTTATGGGAATGCAGACTTTATTCAATTAAACAGGTGTTTGGAATACACAGGTAAAATGTTTTATTGCATGTCTTCATACAAGAGTTCAGTAAAGAATATTTTCTGATATACAAAGGGTTCCATTAACTATTTCACTGTATTCACATATTTAAAATCATGCAATAATGATCAGATTATTTTATATTCGTAAGCAAAATCGGGTGTTTTGTTTCCCATTTCTAAGCAATCCAATAAAACAACTTTCATAGAATATTTTCAGCCACATATTTTTTCGATCATGAACACTGAAATGAATTTGAAAGAAAAAAACAATGTTTGCATCGTGATCAAGCTTACCTTTGCGTTTTTCCAGTTAGATATACATGGTGGGATTTTCCACTCCTGTTGTTCTTTAACTGTCACCTAAAATGAAAAAAAATATAGAATTTATAACATCATTTCATATCATGAGTTGTCACAAACTATAGTGTGATTAGAGATGACCTACAACGTTTATTTACATCGCATATAAGAGTTCCAACATTATCATGATTATGGAGTTCATAACTCTAAAATATTTCTGTAAGTTGCAGATAAAAATGTAATGGTGTTTCGTGAGGAAGGAAAACCAACACCATCTTGAGAGCTATATAAAATTCTATATAGTTTATGGTCAAAACCCCCTAAAAATTTGATTCCTGTCTTGAGATTAGCACACCATACCCTTATTCAAAGATCAGTGTCAAGGTTACATCACAATATAATTCTTTAATCAACACTTCATCTTGTGGCTCTGGCAACTGTACCAAACATATCACAATTCTGAATCTATTTTCACACTAATAATTATTTCAGAATCTTTAACTGACAACCTTTCATGAAGGATTATTAAGTGCAAAATGTAAATAAATAGTGTAAGATGGTGGACAAAAACAATGGACCAATCAGAAATGGGGTTGTACTATGGAAAGTTACTGTTTTAGACATTTAGATCGGTGCAGGCATCATTTATGAGGACACTTAGAGTGCAAAGTGAAATTTCAATACAAGAACAGAAATTGACTTTCTGCTGAATGGTAAATTTAAAAATAAAACATTGTGGTTAATATTCTGAAAGTGGAGAAAAATTAAAAACATGTCAGTTTTTCCTCTTATGGGGCCTGTAATACTTATAACAACTTACCTTTCTATTTGGCGAATGCATAACAGGTGCTGGCGGTGATGGTGGACCTCTGGGAATTTTTTTATTTGTTCTGCAAAACAAATGTTTTAAATGCTACAATAATGTATTATATAAATATTTAATCATATTGCAATTTTATTTGTTTTTAAATATTTAAACATGAAAGGCTAATATTAAAAGAAAGTAAGCATTCAAACATTTATACAAATGGATATTCATATTTTTTTTCAACTAGATTTTGAATTTTAAAACATTCATACAATGTTAATTAACTTTATGAATATGAATTTATTTAAGATCTTATTGAAAACATATTCCTTTAAAATATAAAAGTTTAGATATGTTATATCATTATGTCATTTCAACATGCAAAGTATCTAAAACAGCTATTGTTCAAATCTATGATAATTTATTTTGGGAACATTTCTGTTTTTCAAATGGTTGACCTTGAGACCATACACACATATTGAACTAAAAATGAAGTAGTTATTAGAATGGACATGGTATTCAGTTTGACTCTTTCTCATATTAAACTTACTTAAATTTTGGAGGTTCCATTGGATCCTTTTGTACTTCCACCATTCTGATGACTCTTTGTTTAGCTCCTGAATTGAATGCCATACCTTGCTGTGAAGGGGTGTATCTAAAATTAAACAAACAAAAAAATGACTAAAAACAATTTCATACATATTTATATAACGTCTTTCTCATCTTTTCTTCATGCCTATTGGTAGAGAAATAGTCTCAAGAAAGACACATCACCTTACCATGTTTATCATTATTTGGACATCTTTTGCCATCAGCCAATAGTCGTCTCACTCTTAAATGCTCCATAAATTGCACAAGAAAAAAAGAAACAAATATCAGTTTTTAAGTCTTTGGTCTACTAAGCCATAGATTCCAAAATTAAAGATCTAATTACCTTTAATATGTTCTCATATAACCTTTTTATCTTTTTGTTTAACATAGTGTATGTTTCTGGACCAGGTCATGTTCTCCTTGTGTACATCCCCCTGGATTTGGTGGGTGATGTGTTGCTCAGTTTTTAGTTTTTATGTAGTGTATTGTAGACTGTTGTTTGTCTTTTTGTCTTTGTTTTTTTTTACCTTGATTATGTTGGTCTTTCTTCGACTTACGAGTTTTGATTCTCTCTTTGTATCTTCCGCCTCCTTTTTGAAATTTTCCTGTGTTGTGTTTTTGCTGACATTTGTGTGTCTGTAAGTGATTTTTTTTATTAGGCCATAGGGTTGTGTGTCTTTTTTCAATAATTTTTTGTATTGCCCCTTCAGTATCCTCTTCCATCTTTTATTTGACAGCCATGTTTTGGTACAAAATAGTTTTCTCTTTTTCTACTTTTTAAGCTTTTTATACTTTCCATACCTAATGTATTGTGCTGGTGCCTGTTTGTCAGCAGCTTTTACAGGCATGGCTGCTGATATTTTGGTATTAACAAGTTTCTCCAGAGCCTGTCTAGTAGCTTCTGTTGTGTCTTGTATCTGCTCCTCGTCTGGTTTCTGTATTTCTGGATCATCCTCATCATATGCTTTGGGTACCAGGTCTTGGAATTTGGAATGTACTACCTACAGACAGAAAAAGAGACTAAAAAACAAACAGAGATAGTCTTGATATTTTCGTCCAAAAACACTATGTTATGTTGAAAATGTCTCTGGCAGTAAGAAGAGTACTTAAGCTCCATTTAAAGATAGAACATTTCGAGGTTAACAGAAAATATAATTTTACTTTTTTGCTGTTTGTAAATCTGTAAATATGGTAGACTATGACACAATACTTTTCACATTTCCTATTAAAGGGTGTGGCATTACATATTTCTGCAATAAACATGGGCTCTATATCAGTATGACATTTTTCTTTACTTCAAAACTTAAACGTAATGTTTCGCTTCTATGTATTGGAATGGCCTTTATTAAGATTTTTTCTCATTAAAAGATTTAGTTCTCCTTTGTTTACTGACTGTGCTAGACCCTCATGGTTTGTCAATTTAACACCACCCTAGTTTTTTTTTACCAATGATACATGCTATTCATTGCACTAGCAATCTGTAAAACCAAGGACAGATTACACAGAATCAAACCTACCTTATCTTTAGCATGACCATATTTGGCTATAGCATCATATTTAATCTTCCCGTCATTTCCAAGCTGAACCTGTAGTGCGTTAGATGTACTTTTCTTCATTCCCATACTTAATGGATACTGGGCTACGTGGATCTCTGGAAACGCTCCTCCATCTCCGAAATCCTGTTAAAATAAAATTTACTTTCAAAAATATTTTTTTTTATTTCTGGCAAACTGTAAACATGGTAAATGAACAGTGCATGTAAAATTATTAGTTTAACAAAAAATAAATTTGAAGAGTAGGGATGAAAATCTCACAAAATTTGCTGCTTTGACATACATGTATCTCTGTATTCCCTAAACACTCTTTATTCAAGTAAACTTCATTGTTTTCACAACTTTATATTCTGAGTTGAAATAGGAATATTTAGACTACAAATGTGTTGTGATGGTATAAATAAGATAAAGGAAAATATATGCTGTTGTGTTGGTATATAGTACACACAATGTGATTCAATAGAAAAACATGGTGATGATTAATTTTTCACAGAAAATGCTGATTGTGCATATATCACCCTGAAAAATATATCTGTATATTCATTAGGAATCTAGGATTATTCATATTATGCCAGGCCTAATATCAAATATTAGAAATATTCATATGTAAATATTTTTTTAGTCCCTACATCTTGTGTTCTGGGAATCCATCCTTTCCTGTGACCATATGGTGGCGCTGTTCTTTTTGTAACTGGTGCAATCTAAAAATGAAATGAAACAATTAATAATATACAAAATGTTAGGTTTGGAACTTTTGAACATCATTCGGATAATTCAACACAATGTTACTGGGATGTTACTTGAATTTTACTTTTTCCACTAACAGTGAAAATGAGCAAAGGGCGGAAAATAGTTTTAGCTTCAGCACCCTATGATAGGAACAGTTTGAATCATTTGCTCTTTCAGAAGACTTTCAAGTAAAATTCATTCAAAGAAAATCAGATGAGCATTTGCAATGATTTTTTACAAATTAAAAAAAGAGAAAAACTTGATTAAATGAGTGGATTTTTTTCCCCAGCTGAAACATGGACTCAATAGTATTGTTTTATATTTCATCTGAATAAGATATAGGAATCTCAAATGTCAATTTGTATCCTGCAGTAATTACTACCTGTAGCATTACCACAACACCTGACATAAAGAACATTTAAACTCAATATATGTATACTGTCTTAATAAAAGAAAAAATGTTACAAATTTTCCCACACCAAAACTTCCAACAAAAGTGATAGACTGACCAAGCAGCCAGAATCTGATTTTCTACAATAAATATGTTCCTTGTTTTTACCTGCATTTGTTGTCTAAATGACCTATCTTCATCTTCTCTGTCATATCTTTGCACCGGTGTTGGCAATATACTGAAATTAAAAAACAATTATAATAAAGATTGACTTGTTATTGTTATAGAAAGAAGCAACAATTGTAGGGAAAAGAAAGGCTACATCCCATTTATTTTTTAACCATTTGTAAATGTTTTGCTGAAAACAAATGAATTTAAACCTGTTTCTGTTGGGAAAGCTGTTTTTATGAATTAAATAAATTAATAGGGTAAATAAACTTTAACAGTCACTAGGATATTTGTTATGTGTGGTTCAATCAGAAATCTGAAATCACCATAGGACCACAGCTAAGATTCAACAGCTAGCTTGTGCCACTAGGGCATCTTACAATTGATTAATAGGTCATCTGAGATTAATGTGTCCCTTATCTTTAATACTACAGTAATACCCTAGGGCGCTGTCATGTTTGATCTACATCATATCATCAATGACCTCCCAGAAGCAACAACATTAACGTGAGGGTACCCAAATTGCACCTATTTTGACAGTTTTTTCACCTACATTTTTTTATAATCTAGACATAAGTTTCCATTCTGTGTTTATTTTGTAGACATATCCTTATTTACAATGTAGTTACACCAATTTAATTTTGAATCCATATTGAATCATAGAAAAATGGGTTTGAACCGACCTCCAAACGATCCATGATTCTGTAATGAGTACCCAAATTGCATCCATGCTTAAATTCACATCCTTAAAAATCGAATTACAGATGTTTTGTTTTATTTCTTCAAATATTTAGAACAATTTGACATTAGTCCATGCTTACTATTCTTTTTTTAAGAAATGGATGCTCGTAACATATTTTAATTTGCTCATTATTTAAAAGATGACTTTTCATGCTTTTTGTGAACATAGCATGGCGATGTTTCCAAAGATTTTACTTTTTCCAGTGTATGCTTCATCTGCTGATACATGAATATAAGTGCGAACGTTTTGTGTATATTTAAATATATTTACATATGTCGAAAGAAGTGTATAATGTCAAATCATAAAAATACAAATTGTTTAGTCTCAAGGAAAACTTGTAAGGTTTCCGCAGCTATTTTTGTTGAATAGGTGCAATTTGGGTACTGTGACGTTAAGCACTCAAAAGATGACTGATCAATCTCCATTTTCAACACATCAAGAAAACTGAAGATGCTGACTTGTTGCAGAAAGATCTTGCCTCGTTGGAAGAATGGGAAAAGAACCTTTGGAATTTCAAATGTGTTTCCATCCGGATAAAAATGTAGTCAACCAGTCAGTGGATGGCCAAATCAGGAAATTGCTTGGACAAAGAATTACAAAAAGTTATTAAGGGTTACATGTAATTGTATATAGTGAATGTTGACCTCCATAATCTGATCATCATGATAATGCAACCCAGGGAAGTAATTCTAACTCAAATTTCGTTTACAATGAAAAGTTTAGATTTTGACTGTACACACTTACAAAAATTATGGGTAATGGAAGCTTTAAGGTCTGGATGGGGTTTAAAGATAGAGAATAATATTAGCCAAAAAAAAACTGAATAGTGAAAAATAGAAAATAATAGCCAAAAAGTACTGAATAGAACATGTAGAATAAAATAGAGAATAATAGCCGAAAAAAGAACTGAATAGAGAAAAATTAGCCAAAAGATTCAGGGGTTTTTCTGGGTATTTTGGGAAAAAGGAACCTGGCCCCTTTTGAGAATTTTTTTACGCGATTTTCAATGAAATTGGGAAAACAACAAAAATACCAGATGCGAGTTTTAGTGTGTTTAGTTCATTAAAAATTATATTTTTTTGTGAAAATAAAGGAAGAAACTACATGATTGCAATTTATAATTTCATTTTCTGTTCTTTTTATTTTTAAACTTCACAACAAGGCACTCAAGATTATTTTAGTATCAAAATAATGAGTTCTTAAAGCATACATGTGATTAAAATTTACCGCCTTTTTTATCTTCAAAGACAGTTACAGTTAACATGGTTAATATAATAAATAATTTAGGGATAGAAATAAGATGTTTTTTAACTGGCCAAGCAGGCTAACACTTTTTGAAATTCACTTGCTCTTCCCAATCTTTACTGGCCCTTCAAAATTGAGAAGAAATTACCTCTTGGATCTGTAGTTATATGTTTACATTATAAAATCATCTAATATCAACATTTTTCTTCGATAAAGAAAAGTACAATTTAATGTCACATTTTATTGGATTTTGACATGAAAATTTGTGAACTAAAATCAAAATAATTTTGAGTTTCTGTATAAAATATTTCCTGTTTCTTCTTTCTTTTTCATATATCTTTTAGTTTTCAATTCTAGTGTTATATTTCATAGCTGTATTTTGTGACCTGCTTGGATTTTTTTTTATTTATTTATTGTATTTGATCGGCAAACCCTGAATTAGTCTTATCCGTTCCCGGAAACTGATCCGGTATTGTAATTGACCTACATTTCCGGTTTAAGGCAGCCATTGTTGTCAATGTTGTTTTTGTCAATTACATGTAGATATGTTTTTACTCGGATTTACACACCACTTGTTGGCGATTTTCGGCATAAAGCTAGCAGTTGAACAACATAAACATCACTGTCGTGAATAATAAAGATGAAAATGAACTTTGAGATCGATTGGGAATTTTGCTCCCAAAATTGTGAAAAATGTAGGGTTTTTGCCATTGGGAATGTGTCCAAATATCGGACCCTGTGCAATGCTAGAAAAATCCATGAGATTATAGAATAGGTAATAATGGGGTGCAAAAAGAAAAAGAATACATGTGGAAAATTAGTGGGGTACCACGATTTCCAGAGAACTCCCAAGAACTGAATGTTGACAGCTAACCGATCTATGTTGGCTGAAGACTTTATTTTATATGGTGTTATAATGCATGGTACCGAAATTTAAGTATTTTGTAATAAAATTCTGATAATTCACAGAAATGAATACACGAATAATGACTTTAATGCACAGAATAAAGAAATCATATAATTACAGAAAAAATAAAAGTACAGTGCAGTCCGCTGTATCCGCGCACCTAAGACTTATGACTTCACTTCATTCCACTGATAAAACCAATAATTGGATAATATTGTGTGAACACATTCATAACATACTTTCATTTCACAAAATCTTCTGTTTGTATGGTTTCACCCTCAGGTTTTGTGTAATGCGTGTCCAAAATTAGCTTACTTTGAATAAAGGAAAGATTTTATACTATGAAATATACATGTAGCTGAATTTAAACCAAACACACTGCCAAGGATGCAGAGCAAAAAATATTTCAATCTGATTTAAATTTGACTAAATTAAAACAAATTTAATCTGATGATGTAACTTTTTTAATGGAAATTGGCCAAATATTGTAAATCCTGAGATTGCAGTAATTAATTAACTCTTGAACTTAACAATTTTATTCTTTTTTTATCCCTTCGGCTTCGGAAGGCTAAAACAATAACAAGAACGATTTTATTTGTGTTACTGTGTTGATATGACGAAAATTATCAGCTAATGCGCGATATCACCAGCCGCGCGGACACCGGGGACTCCACTGTACTATCATTTACATGTGGATTTTACGAAATAAGCGTAATTTTAAAGATAAAGAGAAAAGCCGTAAATTTAAAGAATACAAAAATAAAGAACCACTCAACACCCATCCAGACCCTCATAATGGTCTATAAGACCGGTTGTAACGCGTATTTTATTAAGTTTGCCGGTGAGAAGGGCCTTAGATTCAAGATTTTTACAAACTTCGGTAAACTTATCATGTTCCTGACATTTTGCGATAATTGTATTGACCATTATATGATCTGTTTTGTAAAAACAATTTGGAACTTACTCCACAAGTTTCATCGCCATCTTGTTTGTCGATATTACGTATTTTTTCCCTCCCTTTGTCCGATTTTCGAAAAACAACGAAAAAGTCAGTCAGTCATTCGGAATTCACTATGACTTTTCATTCGCTGTGTGATAATGTTCATGATGATTATGAAACAGACGAACTAGAATTGCCAAAGACAAGGGTATTGACACTGGCGTTTATTTTGTCACTTCAAAATTTACATATTCCAATTCTGTATCATACTAGAAACCTATTTCACCCATTTCAGTAGATATTTCCATGAGAATTTCAAGACAGTGGTTGAATCTGTTTCAGATTTGACCTTTGGCTTTGACATATTGCCTATTATTGGCTTTGAAATCTGATTTTATTTGTAATTTTCAGCTTTTATGATCATTCATTGCATAAAAAGTAGGTGCCTAAAAAGTAAGTCTCCATGTAGATGAAAAAAGCTCACTGTTGTATTTCTTAAACTATTTGCATCAAAACGATTTTTAGCAATAAATGATTTAGTTTGTCAAAACAATGTTAATAAAATTGAGAATGGAAATTGGGAATATGTCAAAGAGACAACAACCCGACCAAAGAGCAGACAACAGCAGAAGGCCACCAATGGGTCCTCAGTGTAGTGAGAAAATCCCGCACACGGAGGTGCCTGAGGTGGTCCTCAGCTGGCCCCTAAATAAAATTGTGTGCTAGTTCAGTGAAAATGGATGTCACACTAAACTCCAAAACATATAAATGAACTAAAATTAAAAAAACATGCAAGACTAACAAAGGCAAGAGGCTCCTGACTTGGGACAGGCTCAAAAATGCGGCGGGGTTAAACATGTTTTGTGAGATCTCAACCCTCCCCCTATACCTCTAGTCAATGTAGAAAAAAGAAACACATAGCAATACGCATAGTAAAACTGATTTATGGTCAGATCATATGTTTTCGTACGTCATATGAATTTGAATTCATACTATGCATGCTTTTTCAATGGAAATTGTGATGTAGCAATGCATTCTTAAAAGCAGGAAAATCCATGAGACGAGGATAGTACGTGTTACTATTAGCGAAAAAATCTAAACCAAATTTGTTTACATTTTTGTTTCACCCTGATTCCTGCTTCCAACAAGTAGCTATGATCCAGGTCATTTCAAACTGAGTCGCTTCACTCTAGGTCAGTTTGCACAAGTTGCTTTGTTCCAGGACAGTTCACACTAGGAACTGAGTTGGTTTGCCCTGGCTGATGGCCTAGGCCCCCATTTAAAGCGTAGATATATATCATGTATAGACGATTTTTAAATTCATGAACTTTTCCGTAAATTTCCTATGTCACAATCTTATGTTTTTTAAGTCACAGTAAGAACTGATTGTTCGATGAAGTTGTTTATGTTGCTTAACCTCAAGTCAATTGATGTAACTCATTCATAAAAAACAACTTGAGATTTGTGTATATATGAAGAAGTAAATCACATTTATTTTTTATTAAAAAAGATAGAAAAAATAAAGAATTTTAAAGCAGTTGATTTTTCGTTTTGAAAACTGTAAAAAAAGATTTTGTTTCTGCCTACTCAACCAAATATATCAGTATATTACCCCTGAAAAGTAAATGAAAATATCTGCAGAGTAGATTTAATTTTATATTTGAGTTTTTATTTACCTTTTATATCCAGGACTTTTAATTAACATGTTTTGATATGTTAGTTTGAAATTCTCAGTTTGGTTATTGAGTGACATGTTTAATCTGTTACCTAATTAGTGACAATATGCCTTTAAACATCAACTCAGCACAAAGCAGTGCATGAAGACACAAAATACGGACTGAGAGTACTCTCAGTTACCGAAAGCTAGTTCAAAGCCAATAACAACTAACAAAAAAAACATGTATCTAAGACCACAAAGACTAAAAATGTTCACACTATATTATCATTCTGAGTGATTGATTATATATTCTAGATTGGTAATTGATTCAATTACCTGTAACTTTTATTAAATTGGAACTGATCAAATATGTGTCAACAATAAAACAATAATCAACAATTTGATAGCTAAACTAATCACTTGTTTATTTTCCTTGATGTCAGAATAATCAAAATACCTTATTCTTGTCCAAAAACCCATAAAAACTTAACAATTCATAATCTTGCCCAACAATATATATTGATTCAGAAAGTCAGAATGAAATCACTCAGGACGAAAGGGAATCGGGACAAAATGACTTTGGTAGCGAGCAGGAATCGTGGTGAAACAACCCAAATTTGTTTACATTACATGGAGTTAAAGTTAGCATACATGTGTAAAGCTTGTTAATTAATTCTTCCCAAAGCTTTAAAAAATATGAAGTGATCCATTTTTGTACCAGTTATCCGATGGTAGTCTAACACATCTACTTGTAGAACTATCTTGGAGAAAACTACTTTAACTCGAAGATTCTTTGCCATTAAATGTACACATATTACACATAGTACACATATTACACATATGCTACTGTCAAGTCAACATCTGGTTTTAGAAAAGGTGTCCATTTAAACAAAACTAGTTTCTTGGAGTTCCGTAATTTTGTTATTTTACTTTTTATCAGATTATTATTGCATACATTTACATTATAAAGAATAAAGCTGAAAGTTAAGTCTGCTGATGTTCCACACATAAAATGATGCACTGTCAGTTAATTGAACCATCCATGTAAAAAATTTAACGATCAGTTCTTGAAAGTAATATATCGAAAGTACATAGTTATCATTTCAATGTGTTGTTACCAAATTCATGAAGGTATGGATGGGGTTTACAGAATAGAGAATAATGGGCCAAGTCTACAGAAAAATGGACCAAAAAATATTACGAATGAGAAAAATAGGGCAAAAAAATAAAGAATATAGAATAATGGGGTGCTAAAATATAAAAGAATAGAGAATAATGGCCAAAAGAGGTAAATAATACAGAAAAATGACCTAATAAATTTAAGAATACAGATATGAAAGACCCATATATCTAGACCCTCATTCATTGCCTTGATTGTCTTGAATTCCAAATTCCAAATTATAAAGGGATTGTTTAACTTTGGCTCATCTGAGGTGCGTTTGAACAAAAAAATATCTAATTGACCATTGTGTTCATATGAAATTTTATTATCTAATGCATTATAAAAATAAGAAGATGAGGAATGATTACTGATGAGACAACTATCCAACAGAAACCAAAAGATGTAGATGTAGGCAACTAAGTTTGGTTTCTGTTCAGAACTATAGATCACTGTATGGCCTTCAACAATGAGCAAACCTATAACTTATAGCGTAAAAAGTATAAAAGCCCTGACATGGCAAAATGTAAAAACTAATTCAAATGGGAACAGCCTGATTTATGTACAAAACAATATACAAAAAAACAATATAATAGACAGCAACCAACTACAACCACTGAATTACAGGCTTTTGACTTGGGATTTATTTTTTTCAGTTGTGTAGAATGAGTAGACACCTCCTCAAACGAACCTTGAAATATCTGACTGTTGGAGGCCTGGGAACAGGATCAGGCTATTTTCTGTATAAAAATGATTGGGAGGTTTCTACCATTGGAGTAGTAAGATTTGGACGTGCAGCTTTTACAGTAGGTATTTTAATCAATTTTGTAAACTGTATTGAAGTTTTCTGATCTCAACATGCTTGATTTAAGAAATAACAAGTATACATATAAATGCCATATAAAGAAGGTCAAATGAATTGATATAAAAGTGGGCCGACACAAGCAAACTCAAAACATGAATACTATGAATAAAGGAGATGTGTTAGAATTAAAATTACAGTTCTTTAACTTAGATTGAGATAAAATTTGCTTCAACTTTTTAAACACTTAGTTAGAGATCAATGGAAATTTGAAATATTACCTCTTTTTTGAAGATTTATGATGACTATATTTGAGCTTCATTTTGGTTACAACAGATCTGTATACTTATGCTATGCTGCGTTCACACGTAATTCGAATTCGATTCGCATTAACTAATTTGAATTAGTTTAATTCGCATTCGAAACGTTTAACGTCCAAACGTAAATTCTAATTCGAATTGCAATGCACGTCAAATTCCCTTTAATGTCCTAACGACGTTAACTTTTAATTTGTATTAACAAAAACGCATTTCTAATGCGAATTGGATAATGCAATTTAGCCAATTCGAATCAATTCGAATTATAAAAGAAGAGTGTGTGAACGCGATTAGCGAATTCGATTCACATTCGATTTGAATTCAATTCGAATTAAATGTACGCGTGAACGAGGCATTATTCAATTTCATAAATTTTGTTGTATTTTTATTCATCGGCCAATGTTGCAAAGGAATGTACAACACAAACAAATGTAGATTGAAAAAAAAAATTATTCCACCAAGAATTGAAATTTGTGGCTTGAGAAGATGTATTATATTTTGAAAATAATATTTGCATTATTTGATTTTGTAGGCATTCTGGATTGTAGCTGATTATAAAATACATTTACGAGGAATTGATAATGAAAGTCCAGAGTATGAGAAAGTGAAATCAGAGGTAATATTTAATTGATGTAGTTGCTTTAAAATATAATAGTGTAAAAGTATATTGCTTTTGAGGCAAATGATTTTCACGGTTTTAATTGTAATGTCTTTTACATATTTCTGATAATTATTTTACTGGGAAATTACAGTTTTTCTCAAATATTTTATTTCATGCTTTTTTTATACTACGAAAAAGTAAACAATTGTTACTTTCATACTAATAAATCACTTAGTACTATAAATAACTATTTAGAAATATAGAATTTGATAGAATGTATTGTTTACATCTATATCAGAAGTCATACTTTTTGTATTAAACAGTCTAATTCTTGTAAGAAATCACACTAAATTTGTAATTATCTCCCTTTTACATATCTTACAGAGAGGACTATATTTAGAAATGTATTTTTGAAAATGTTATGAAATTAACTCTGGATGCATGACATAAGAAATATAGATACTGCCATAAAACATTTAAAACATTCAAGCCAGTACTATCAGAAATTTAGATATTTTAAACTTTTCATAAATTATTGCTTTTTCCTAAAATTTCTTAGATCTTAAAAAGTTTATTTTCTGAAAAATACGAATGTACTGCAAAGCAACAATTTTGGCCATTTTCAAAGTAATTATAGAATATAAAAATAAATGCGTATGTAATGAAATACATGTTTGTACATGTGATATTATTATAAAAAGCTTTGACAAACAAAATTGTGTTTGTAGAAGATATTTTTGCTGTGACATGTCTCTAAATAATGAAACTTAATCAAGCTACTGACTTGGTAAAAACTTGACGATGGAATTTTTTTGTTTTCAGATTCATTGCAGATCTGCATTACGTCTGCGTGAACTTTGCTGTTCCAATGGAGGAGGATATATAAAAGTCGGACAACATGTAGGATCACTGGAATATCTATTACCAATGGAATACGTAGAGACAATGAAAGTTCTACACAACCAGGCGCCACAAACACCTGTTACAGAATTATTTAAAGTATTGGAAGAAGATCTTGGACAAAAGGTGTTAGTTTTTTCTTTAACTGGTACCGGTACTCTAATAGTTATATTTATGTGTTGTCCTATATTATTACATTTTTTTTATTGAAAATATTTCTTCTGAACTTCTTGTGACATCAAATTTCCATGATGTTTTCTGGTTTTACCATTGTGGGTCGACCCCAAACCATTAGGGGCTGAATAAGAAGCTCATGTTCATGTCTTGTTTTTTTTAGGTACAGGACATATTCGTACAGATAGACCCTGAAGCGTTAGGTGCTGAATCATTAGCTCAGGTTCATGCCTTGTTTATTTTAGGTACATGACATGAATGTACAGATAGACCCCAAACCATTAGGTGCTGCATCATTAGCTCAGGTTCAAGTCTTTATTATTGTAGTATCAGGACATGTTCGTACAGATAGATCCTGAACCATTAGGTGCTGAATCATAAGCTCAAGTTCATGTCATGCTTATTTTAGGTACAGGACATGTTCGTACAGATAGACCCTGAACTATTAGGTGCTCCATCATTAGATCAGGTTCATGCCTTGCTTATTTTAGGTACAGGACATGTTCATACAGATAGACCCTGAACCATTAGGTACTGCTTCATTAGCTCAGGTTCATGTCTTGTTTATTTTAGGTACATGACATGTTCGTACAGATAGACCCTGAACCATTAGGTGCTGCGTCATTAATAGCTCAAGTTCATGTCTTGCTTATTTTAGGTACAGGACATGTTCGTACAGATAGACCCTGAACCATTAGGTGCTGCATCTTTAGCTCAGGTTCATAAAGCAACTCTTAAAGATGGAACAGTTGTTGCTGTAAAGATTCAGCATCCCAAAGTGAAGAAACATTCATTTGTAGATATAAAGACCATGGAGGTAAGATCTGGTTTGGACAGAACAGGTTCATTTTTTATTCATCACGATTTAACGAAGATTTTGGGAAACATCTATGAGACAGCAATCCAACAATTTTTGTACACAAAAATAAACATCACATATTCTAAGGCCGTTATCGCTCTGATTTCACTAATGTATTCAACAAAAATGATAAGAGATCAGGGCTTCTGGTCATAAAACTTTACTCAGTTCTCATAGTACAAAATTTGTGCTCAAAACACCAAATCCAGTAATTTGATTGGTTGATTTCTGAGTCTGAGTACCATAATCATACACAATAGTGTTATGACCACAAGTATGCAATACACATATTAGTCTTTTCTTTGTTGTACAAGTGGTGCAATGATTTGAAAGGGAGATAATGTTGCAGCAATGTAACAATGTTTAGAACAAACTACCAGTAATTATAAAATGTAATTATGATATAATTTTAAAAATATTTACTCTGGTACTATGACTTGTTATTAGCTATTTCATTTTTCCAATTTTTTGTTTAAAACAGACAGTCGTTAGAATTGTATTGTGACAATAATTTTGATTCTACATCCGCTTTATATAAATTACAACCTGTCTTTTGCCATGGGCTGATATTTTTCACTCGTTGATCAGTATGAAGAATTCATAATGCAACTTAAATTTTTATTTAGCAATTTGGTATTCTAGAGAGCCTAAGCCTCTTGCAAATGCACAGTAATTCTGTTTTTTTTGTTTTTATAGCTTTTAGTACACGGTGTGGCTTTTGTATTCCCTGGTTTTCAGTATAAGTGGTTAGCTGAAGAAACTAAAAGGAACTTACCTCTAGAGTTAGACTTTCTACACGAAGGAAGAAATTGTGAAAGAGTACAAAGGCTATTCAAACATTTTAAATTTCTGAAGGTTATTATATATTGTGCTTTTGTTTTATATCCTCTTGAAACAGTAAGAGTCACACAGGCAACACTGTGACTTAAATTGTTATTAATCAATGTTTTCGAAAGCTCTAAGATAAATTCCATAGAATTAAGAAATAAGTTTTGGCAACACCCTGGTTTTGTTTTAAATTCTACCATTGACAACATGGTAGAAGCAGAACCAGACCTCAATATCTGAAAATATAGGGCCTACTGATGGTAAAATCAAAATAAACCTCAGGATTCAAAACATTATTTTGATTTTTTTAGGAAAATGTACAAAAAGTCAATTAGAATTAATGTTGCATTAGACAACATTATTTGAATATGACATTTTCTTCACAGAATGTTTTTTTGAGTTGTTCAGGTTCTGTTTGTCATGGTTTATTGAGTATTTTGACATTAAACAAACCACAGAGTGAAAACAGGATGTCATGTTAGAATATATGAAATGCTGATCTTACTTTAGAACAAACATAATATTAAGGAAATTTTTCAAGGTCGAATTTGGTTCTTTTGTATAAATTATATTTTAAAGTTTTTTTTTCTCTACATATGACCTATCCTTTTCCGTGTGACAAGTATGCAGGTTATGAAGAAAGATGAGGATATGTCAATAAGACAGCAATCCAAGAATGTGAATTCACAAAAAAAGACTCTTAAATGTTTTTATATATTTCAACAATGGACAAGAGTCTATACTATACCTTATATGGCCCCAAGTCTAAGCAAGTTTTTAACAAATTCAAAGTGGTTTGTTATCAATTCAAAGTGGCAATTGTTCAAACAGACTGAATTAGGGTTCTTGGAATAGAGTTGTAATGAAAATCCAAGAATTGCTATGGTTTTATTGATAGATTCCAAAGATTTACTGGGACTTGTCATCAGAGAGAGTCCTTACAATGGAGTTCTGTGAAGGAGGCAAGGTGGATAACAGGGAATATATGAAACAGCATAAGATATCTGTTGATGAGGTTGGTAGTTAAAAGTACTGAGAAAGTACTTATGAATTTGGATGCCAAATTTTGTTGAAAAATCTTTTGTAAGTGTTCACAAATGTGGATCTTAAAGGAGGTATATATGCAAGAAAGAAAATAAGATAAAAGTTTTACTTTCATGGTGAATGCAATAATTAAAATAATTAGTAGTGCATTTATGTACTTTTGCACCTCCTATTTCATTTCTTCATCTGAATGATTGTTGGGATTTTCTTTGGGATGACATGTACTTTGTCATGTCTGCACGGAATTATTTTGGGGGCTTCTTTAGCAAATCATGGATTTTGCAAGGGTGTCATTTTGTGAGCTTTGCTAGCAGTAACTCTAGTTTTCTGTACCTTAATAATTCTAATACATGCAATGCAACAGGTCTCTAGAGATTTAGGCATGTTGAACTCTGAGACAGTATTTGTAGATGGTTACCCAGTGAGTTTGTGCTTTCAGATTCACATACAGGTAATGTTTAATGTGTATTACAGGTTTCCAGAGATTAATGCAAGTTTTTCTCTTGGGATAATATTTGTTATGTCCATTCCATTCAAATCCAGTTTTATATGCATTACAGGTGTTAAGAGATTTAGGCAAGTTGTATAGTGAGATGATATTTGTACATGTTCATTGTTATCCACATCACAGAGTTCTCACACTCTTTTTTCCTTGATGGTCCTTGAAGAAAATCTGCTGGTTATCAGTGCACACTATTATTTCTATTGAAAAATACCTAAATTACGTCGGTTCTTTACAAAATTTTGGTGGTCAAAACCTTCGGGCCACCACTTTTTAAGAACTCTGCATTATGTGTATTACAGTTATCAAAGAGATTTAGGCAAGTTGTACAGGGAGATGATATTTGTACATGAATGTGTATTACAGGTGAAAAGAGATTTAGGCAAATTGTACAGTGAGATGTTACATGTATTTTTACATGGATATTTTCATTCTGATCCACATTATATGTATTACAGGTGTCAAGAGATTTAGGCAAGTTGTACAGTGAGATGATATTTGAACATGGATATGTACATTGTGATCCACATTATTTGTATTACAGGTGTCAAGAGATTTAGGCAAGTTGTACAGTGAGATGATATTTGAACATGGATATGTACATTGTGATCCACATTATTTGTATTACAGGTGTCAAAAGATTTAGGCAAGTTGTACAGTGAGATGATATTTGAACATGGTTATGTTCATTGTGATCCACATTATATGTATTACAGGTATCAAGAGATTTAGGCAAGTTGTACAGTAAGATGATATTTGTACATGGTTTATGTACATTGTGATCCACATATGTATTACAGGTGTCAAGAGATTTAGGCAAGTTGTACAGTGAGATGATATTTGAACATGGTTATGTACATTGTGATCCACATATGTATTTCAGGTATCAAGAGATTTAGGCAAGTTGTACAGTAAGATGATATTTGTACATGGTTATGTACATTGTGATCCACATATGTATTTCAGGTGTCAAGAGATTTAGGCAAGTTGTACAGTGAGATGATATTTGTACATGGATATGTACATTGTGATCCACATTATGTGTATTTCAGGTGTCAAGAGATTTAGGCAAGTTGTACAGTGAGATGATATTTGTACATGGATATGTACATTGTGATCCTCATCCAGGTAATGTTTTAGTCAATAAAACAGCTGAAGGAAACACAGAAATAGTCCTGTTAGACCATGGCATTTATCAGGTAATTTGGAAATTTAATACTGAAAATTCAGAAATTATTGCAAGGTTTTTATTAATGCGAATTATACGACTGGGTTAGTATTGCAATAATAAGAACTCACATTCTGAAATCTGACACATACATATGTTTCCACGTTTCCTGTAATCCAAAGGATTATTCTCCCATTTTGGTCTGTCATGTAGAAATCACAATAATAAATGCACCCAATAATTTCTGAATTTACAGTAGTTGAATAAATACTCTACATACACACAAATGTTAGTAATTTGGAAATAGTAATGAAAATTTGCTACACATATGATTTAGAAATCTTATATACATAAAGAGACAATTGATAAATCATTCTTGACCATGTTAAAGACATAATCTTTCAATCAGTTTAATTGAGGTCTGGTACTGTCATGTCAGTAACTGCTAGTAGTCCTTTTTAGCTCACCTGGCCCAAAGGGCCAAGTGAGCTTTTCTCATCACTTGGCGTCCGTCGTCCTGCGTCCGTCGTCCGTCGTCCGTAAACTTTTACAAAAATCTTCTACTCTGAAACTACTGGGCCAAATTTGACCAAACTTGGCGACAATCATCATTGGGGTATCTAGTTTAAAAAATGTGTCCGATGACCTGGCCAACCAACCAAGATGGCCGCCATGGCTAAAAATAGAACAAAGGGGTAAAATGTAGATTTTGGCTTATATCTCTGAAACCAAAGCATTTAGAGCAAATCTGACAGGGTGTAAAATTGTTTATCAGGTCAAGATCTATCTGCCCTGAAATTTTCAGATGAATCTGACAACCCGTTGTTGGGTTGCTGCCCCTGAATTGGTAATTTTAAGGAAATTTTGCCGTTTTTGGTTATTATCTTGAATATTATTATAGATTGAGATAAACTGTAAACAGCAATAATGTTCAGCAAAGTAAGATCTACAAAAAAGTCAACTTGACCAAAATGGTCAGTTGACCCCTTAAGGAGTTATTGCCCTTTATAGTCAATTTTTAACCATTTTTCGTAAAGTTTTGTAATCTTTTACAAAAATCTTCTCCTCTGAAACTACTAAGACAAATTTAACCAAACTTGTCCACAATCATCATTAGGGTATCATGTTTAAAAATTGTGTCAGATGACCCCGCCCGCAAACCAAGATGGCCGACATGGCTAAAAAATAGTACATAGGGTAAAATAAAGCTTTTGGCTCATATCTCTGAAACCAAAGCATTTAGAGCAAATCTGACAAGGATAAAATTGTTCATTAGGTCCAGATCTATCTGCCCTGAAATTTTCAGACCAATCAGGCAACACGTTGTTGGGTTGATGCCCCTGAATTGGTAATTTTAAGAAAATTTTGCAGCTTTTGGTTATTATCTTGAATATTATTATAGATAGAGATAAACTGTAAACAGCAATAATGTACAGCAAAGTAAGATCTACAAATAAGTCAACATGACCAAAATTGTCAATTGACCCCTTAAGGAGTTATTGCACTTTATAGTCAATTTTTTACAATTTTAATAAATTTTGTAAATTTTTGTAAATTTTTACAAAATATTTTCCACTGTAACTACTGGGCCAAGTTCATTATAGATAGAGATAATTGTAAGCAGCAAGAATGTTCAGTAAAGTAAGATCTACAAACACATCACCATCACCAAAACACAATTTTGTCATGAATCCATCTGTGTCCTTTGTTTAATATGCACATAGACCAAGGTGAGCGACACAGGCTCTTTAGAGCCTCTAGTTGGTTATTATCTTGAATATTATTATAGATAGAGATAAACTGTTTACAGCAATAATGTTCAGCAAAGTAAGATCTACAAATATGTCAACTTGACCAAAATGGTCAGTTGACCCCTTAAGGAGTTATTGCCCTTTATAGTCAATTTTTAACCATTTTTCGTAAATTTTTGTAATCTTTTACAAAAATCTTCTCCTCTGAAACAACTAAGACAAATTTAACCAATCTTGTCCACAATCATCATTAGGGTATTTAGTTTAAAAAATGTGTCCGATGACCCCGCCCGAGAACCAAGATGGCCGACATGGCTAAAAAATAGTACATAGGGTAAAATGCAGTTTTTGGCTCATATCTCTGAAACCAAAGCATTTAGAGCAAATCAGATGAGGATAAAATTGTTCATTAGGTCAAGATCTATCTGCCCTGAAATTTTCAGACCAATCAGGCAACACGTTGTTGGGTTGCTGCCCCTGAATTGGTAATTTTAAGGAAATTTTGCTGTTTTGGTTATTATCTTGAATACTATTATAGATAGAGATAAACTGTAAACAGCAATAATGTTCAGCAAAGTAAGATCTACAAATAAGTTCACATGACCAAAATGGCCAGTTGCCCCCTTAAGGAGTTATTGCCCTTTATAGTAAATTTTTTACCATTTTTCGTAAATTTTTGTAATTTTTTACAAAAATCTTCTCCTCTGAAACTACTAAGACAAATTTAACCAAACTTGTCCACAATCATCATTAGGGTATCTAGTTTAAAAAATGTGTCCGATGACCCCGCCCGAGAACCAAGATGGCCGACATGGCTAAAAAATAGTACATAGGGTAAAATGCAGTTTTTGGCTCATATCTCTGAAACCAAAGCATTTAGAGCAAATCTGATGAGTATAAAATTGTTCATTAGGTCCAGATCTATCTGCCCTGAAATTTTCAGACCAATCAGGCAACACGTTGTTGGGTTGCTGCCCCTGAATTGGTAATTTCAAGAAAATTTTGCAGCTTTTGGTTATTATCTTGAATATTATTATAGATAGAGATAAACTGTAAACAGCAATAATGTACAGCAAAGTTAGATCTACAAATAAGGCAACATGACCAAAATTGTCAATTGATCCCTTAAGGAGTTATTGCCCTTTATAGTCAGTTTTTTACAATTTTCATAAATTTTGTAAATTTTTGTAAATTTTTACAAAGTATTTTCCACTGTAACTACCGGGCCAAGTTCATTATAGATAGAGATTATAGTAAGGAGCAAGAATGTTCATTAAAGTAAGATCTACAAACACATCACCATCACCAAAACACAATTTTGTCATGAATCCATATGTGTCCTTTGTTTAATATGCACATAGACCAAGGTGTGCGACACAGGATCTAAAAGAGCCTCTAGTTAATTTATGTTAATTAATGTTGATTATTGTCATTTTGCATAGTTTCTTCTGTTACCTATTCTAACATCAGACTCGGACTTCCTTCAAACTGAATTTTATGGTGAGTTTGCTGTGTGTTTGTTTATTACACATTGGATAGAGGTATAGGGGAAGGGTTGAGAACTCACAAAACATGTTTAACCCAGCCACATTTTTTCGCCTGTCCCAAGTCAGGAACCTCTGGCCTTTGATTAGTCTTGTATTTTTTTTGTTTTAATTTTGGTTCTTTTATATGTTTCGGAGTTTAGTGTGATCTCCATTTTCGCTGAACTAGTATACTGTGGATTCATTTATTTTCGTAGGTACCAATTTTCGTGCTTTGAGTAAAACTTGCATATTCGTGGATATTTAATTTCGTGGTTTTGGCAAAGTCTGCATACATTCCTTTAGAAAATTTGCAATTCGTTGAATATTTAAATTCGTGGTTCCCTTGTACCCACGAAATCCACGAAAATTGGTATCCGACGAATATTAAGGAATCCACAGTACATTATTATTTAGGGGCAAGCTGAAGCCTACCTCTGGTTGCTGGATGTTCTCGCTGTGTTGAAGACCCATTGGTGGCCTTGGGCTGTTTTCTGCTCTTTGGTCTGGTTGTTGTTTCTTTGAAGCATTCCCCATTTCCATTTTCCATTATATTTATTGTTAAATATAAACATAGAATCTTATTAATTCAACAAAAGTATTTTGAACAGAACTTTTTGCTTTTATTGTCTCGACTGTTAGAAAGCTGCAGAATGCGAGGCATAGGGTTCACCTGACATCGACCTCATTTTATGGTTCAGTGATCATGGTTAAGTTTACTAGTCAAGTTCATATCTCAGATACTATAAGCAGTAGGACCTCTATATTTGGTGTATGGAATGATTGTAAGGTGTACACTTCCGACTGGCAGATTTATCTTACCTTGATCTCATTACCATGGTTCATTGGAAAATGTTTAGTTTTGTGGTTTGGTCTATATCTCAGATTCTATAAGCAATAGGGCCACTATATTTTGTGTATGAAATGATTGTAAGGTAAACATGTCTGTCTGGCAGGTTTCATATGACCTTTACCTAACTTTCATGGTTCATTGGTCAATGTGAATTTTCATGGTTTTTGTCAGTTTTTCAGATACCATAAGCAATAGGTCAACTATATTTGGTGTATAGAATGATTGTAAGGGGTACATGTCTGTCTGGCAGGGTTTATATGACCTTGAACTCATTTTTATGGTTCATTGGTCAATGTTATGTTTATGTGGTTTGGTCTGTTTTCAGGGACTAGAAGAAGAAAAAGGACCACTATATTTGGTGTATGGAATGATTGTTAGGTGTACATGTATGTCTGGTATGGGTCATCTGACATTGACCTCATTTTTTCATGAATCATTGATAATGTTAAGTTTATGTGAAACTTATAGTAAAACCTTCATATTACAGACTTTCAATCATATCAATTTAAAGCAGGCGAGACATAATCTTGTATATTCCTGAAATTAGAACATTCACTCAACCATTTTTTATAAATAAAAAAAAAAATTTGGAAAGAAATTTCTCCAAAAAGAAGTACAATAGTAAAACCTGTTCACTAGTTCACCAAGTCTCACTTGGATGTGTTTAGCTTTAGCTGTCTTGTATTTCACTTACTTTTGATTATGTTCATTTTTTTTATTTCAGTCATTGACAGATGAGTTTCGTGTAAACTACTGTAAGCTATGGACATCTTTGATAAAGGCTGATTTAGAAGGTATAAAAAAGTATTCTACTGCTATGAATGCTGGAGATATGTATCCATTGTTTGCCTGTATGTTGACTGCCAGGTCATGGAAAGCTATATCATCTGGAATAGATAAACAACAGTACACCAAGTCAGAAGTAAGTTGTGTACAGAATGAAAATTATATCAGCAGAACCTGTCATCTATTACAGCATAGCTAGTGTTGATTAATTTATCATTAGGTACATTGTACCAATTACATATGATTTAATTGGTAAAGGTAAACCGTGAATTCAAATATTCAAAGAAGTATAAATTTCTATTGGCTTGTATGCAAACTTTGGCAAATTAATGAGTACACCTTTTCCCCCATCAATCCACAAATTGGTACCCACAAAATCAAGTAATCCACAATTTTTTGAGTGTGTTCTTAACACATACAATTTAAGCTGCTCATCATTACCACACAACAAAACCATGAACAATAAAATTGAGAATGGAAATGGGGAATGTGTCAAAAAGACAACAACCCGACCATAGAGCAGACAACAGCCGAAGGCCACCAATGGGTCTTCAATGCAGCGAGAAACTCCCGCACCCGGAGGCATCCTTCAGCTGGCCCCTAAACAAATATGTATACTAGTTCAGTGATAATGGACGTCATACTAAACTCCAAATTATACACAAGAAACTAAAATTAAAAACGACACAAGACTAACAAAGGCCAGAGGCTCCTGACTTGGGACAGGCGCAAAAATGCGGCGGGGTTAAACATGTTTTTTGAGATCTCAACCCTTCCCTATACCTCTAGCCAATGCAGAAAAAACAAACGTACAACAGTACGCACAGTAAAACTCAGTTCAAGAGAAGTCCGAGTCCGATGTCAGAATAGGAAACAAAAGAAAATAAACAAAATGACAATAATACATAAATAACAACAGACTACTAGCAGTTCCATAATCAGAAAAATGGGAATAGTTTTTTGTCGAGCCTGCAACTTTTGTCGCAGAAAGCTCGACATAGGGATAGTGTTCGGCCGCGGCGTTAACTAACTTCTTACAAGCTTTATATTTTAGAAGGTGGAAGACCTGGATGCTTCATACTTTGTATATAGATGCCTTATGTTACGAAGTTTCATTGCCCATTGTCCTTGACCTCATTTTCATGGTTCAGTGACTACTTGAAAAAAAAGTTAAGATTTTTTGTAATGTTAATTTCTCTCTTATTATGAATATTAGGATAACTATATTTGGTATGTGCGTACCTTGCAAGGTCCTCATGCCTGTCAGACAGTTTTCACTTGACCTCGACCTCATTTCATGGATCAGTGAACAAGGTTAAGTTTTGGTGGTCAAGTCCATATCTCAGATACTATAAGCAATAGTTCTAGTATATTTGGTGTATAGAAGGATTGTAAGGTGTACATGTCCAACTGGCAGGTGTCATCTGACCTTGACCTCATTTTCATGGTTCAGTGGTCAAAGTTAAGTTTTTGAGTTTTGGTCTTTTTTTTCTAATGCTATATGCAAAAGGTCAACTATATTTGGTGTATGGAAATATTTTATGACGCACATGTCAGTCTCGCAGGCTTTATTTGACCTTGACCTCATTTTCACGGTTCATTGCTCAGTGTTAAGTTTTTGTGTTTTGGTCTGTTTTTCTTATACTGTATGCAATAGGTCTACTATATTTGGTGTATGGAATGATTGTAAGGTGTACATGTCCAACTGGCAGGTGTCATCTGACCTTGACCACATTTTCATGGTTCAGTGGTCAAAGTTAAGTTTTTGAGTTTTGGTCTTTTTTCTAATACTATATGCAATAGGTCAACTATTTTTGGTGTATGGAAATATTTTATGATGCACATGTCAGTCTCGCAGGCTTTATTTGACCTTGACCTCATTTTCACGGTTCATTGCTCAGTGTTAAGTTTTTGTGTTTTGGTCTGTTTTTCTTAAACTATAAGCAATTGGTCAACTATATTTTTTGTATAGAAGGATTGTAAGCTGTATATGTCTGTCTGGCAGGTATTATCTGACCTTGACCTCATTTTGTTGGTTCATTGGTCACTGTTAAGTTTTCATGGTTAAGTTTGTTTCTTAGATACTATAAGCAATAGGTCAACTATATTTAATGCATAGGTTGATTGTAAGGTGTACCTTTCTGCCTGGTATGGTTCATTTGACCTTGACCTCATTTACATGGTTCATTGGTCAATGTTTAGTTTTCTTGGTTAAGTCTGTTTCTTAGAAACTATAAGCAATAGGTCAACTATATTTAGTGTATTGAATGATTGTAAGGTTGATAGTTGTAGTAAAGCTTTATATTTAGGACTATCAAAATAATATCAATGGTTAGTAAGGAAGGCGAGACATTTCAGCGTGTGCACTCTTGTTTTATAAGAAGTGAGGTAATACTGGTATATAATACTTCTTTGTGTGAATATAACTTTTATATAATATTTTGATTTGTTCCATTCATTATTTCTTATATCACATTCTAATTTTCAAAAGATGCCTGTATGATATTTAATAGAAATTCATTTTTTTTAGCCTTGCCACTTTGTATTGACACTTTATTTTCAGTCAAATTTGATAATGCTCTTTGATGTTGCAACAATTGTGCATGTTTATTTGACCTTTCACACATATACCTGTTAAAAATGAGCTGATTTCATTTTATTCAATGCATCGAATTTTAGAGTACATTACAAGAAATTCCATTTATTTCTTTTTTAGGATGATGAAATAAAATCAAACGCTGCCAATTACCTCATACAGATCTCTGAAATTCTGAACCGTGTACCACGACAGTTACTTCTCATCCTTAAAACAAACGATGTGTTACGAAGCATTGAGTATACGCTACAGACAAGAGCAAGTTCAACATCATTTATAAACATGTCACGGTGTTGTATTCGTGCTGTGGCTATGGACAGTGAGAGGAAATGTAACACTTGGACAGGGTGGCTTCAAATTAGATTAGCCAAACAGTGGCAATTATTTAAAATTAATATATATGAGTTTTTTTTATGGGTACAGACTTCTTCAGTTGTTCGGTTTATGAGTAGAAAAAATAATGTCATAGCTTTATGATGAAAGCTTTTTCTTAGGTTTTTAAAATATTGTTCTGTGATACCAGTATTCTTAATGTGTCTATAAAACCTCAAAAATGATTTTGATGAAAAATTAACATTGAATTTATGATTGCTTTTAAGATTAGAAATTTCATACAAAACTTTAAAAAAGCAAAGAAAATTTAGCAACAACTTGTGAGGTGACATCATTTGTTTCAATGATATATAACAAAAATTCTGAGGCTGCCACTTTATAGAAATGCAAATTGTATTTGAATATTACCGAAGACAGTTATAAGCTATTAAAGGTGCATTAGATGTCAAATTCATGTACACCGATTTTACCCAAATTTTCATATTTTATTTATAACATAATAAATCGAATATCCTAATTATAAAAATTCCAAAAGAAACAATGCATGGGCTCGCTATAATGTATCAACATTTAGTACGTTTTTTAGACAAGACACCATCTATTTATCCATCGAGATGACCTCCGATGACTACATACGGTCATTAAAATCAATATTTACATAAATATCAATATAAGTAGATAGCGAGCAAGTGCAATCAGATTTTTCTAGGTCTGTTTGATTTCATGTTAAGGTTAAAAATATATGTAAATGATTGTTTTACCTGGATATGATTGATTTTTTGTGGGCCAGATCGGTCATAGAAATGGTTATTCCTGGTGGCTCCCTTGTTTCACTTTTCAATGTTGACATTCTTTCTTTTCAATGAATGAGCCACATTATGAACAAATAGCACCCATCTCCAAATTCAAGTTAAAAGGTTCATGCATACGAATTCAAATGAGTTGAATTATTAACTTGCAAGTCAATAATACACCAGTGATGTTTTTTAAGCTTATTTTGGCGAAATTGGACCAAACTGACTGCTAATAGCAAATTATTATTTCATTTTTCCGCTCTCATAAATGTTTTTATTATTTTGTCGAATTCATAGCTAATGCCCCTTTAATGTAGATAAGTATTTAGGACTTACAGAAAATTGAAGGTATATAACATTTGCTAACTGCTGTATGTTGTTAGTAAGGAAATTATTACACAGTAGAAAATGATGAACACTACTTTTTACTGAATTGCATTGTAAGAAATGTTTGAAATTGTTTTAATAAATCTGTAAATTTTTTATTTTCAATATGAATTTATAATTTTTATTACTTGTTTACTCTTTTTATGCCCTGCCTTCAATAGAAGGGGTCATGTTGTTTTAAGGTCAGTGTGTTTGTCATGTTGTCCCTTTGTCTGTTTAATATCAGGCTATAGTTTTTTGGTCATTGATTCATCATGGATGTTATTAAAGAATTGTATTAATACATACAAATTTTTTACCAGTTTTAAAGGAAATGAGTCTTCAAATCATAATTGTTTTATGACGTAAGAGGAGTGAAAATACAGGATTCATTTCACATGGAAAACATTGTTTCTTATTGTCCCTGGCAATCTGTTTAGGGGACATAGAAATACTGAGTGTCCGCTGTGTGTCCATCAAGTCTTGTAAGTGTATTCTCACTTGTACAATTATTTTCAGATTTTTATGAAATATATAATGAAGGTTTATATTAGCAATGTTGGACAAATTCGAAAATCAGTACAGGTTTAAAGGAGTTTTGCCACTTGGTAATATAAATTATATGGACAATTGATTGTAAGTGCTTTCAAGCCTACATTGCTTGTAGGATTGTTATGAAATTGTCTTGATATCAAAGTTGAGTATGAATATTAATGCTGATCAACTATTTTTTTACAGGAATTATGTCCCTTTTAAATTTAATGTATATTAAAAATGTCTTATTAGCTCTCTCACATGCCTACATTTCTTGTAGGGTATTTACAGGAAAATTTAAAAGAATCCAAAAATACTTTTTTAGAGTTGTTGCACTTGGACAGAGAAAATATATATGCATCGGCATCAATATGTATTTATTGAACATGTTGGTTTAAAATTTTAAACATGCCAGCTCCTTCAAAGTGAATTAGTTAATAACTCCTGAGCTGTGAATTTAAGGGGATAAAATACAAAACAGATTTTAAAGGTAAGTTATATTTACCTTGAAATTTTTTTCGAAAAAAAATTGATATGTGGTCTCTAGTTTTACTCACTTTTCTTAGATATATGTAAACTCATCATAGATACCAGGATTAAAATTTTGTACGCCAGACGTGAGTTTCTTTTACAAAAGACTCATCAGTGACGCTCGATTCAAAAAAGTTAAAAACTCCAAGTAAAGTATGAAGTTGAAGAGCACTGAGGACCCAAAATTCCAAAAGGTTTTGCCACATATTAGGTTGAATTTGACATATTGGAGTTATGAAAAGAGATATTTTAACTTTTTATGCTCGCACAAAATATTTTTGAGCATTATGTAGTTATCAGTTTGTCTGTTTGTCCGTGTTTCCAAAACAAATGGTTTCTGGATGATAACTTTAGTGTCCATTGCTTGATAGGAATGAAACCTATATAGTTAGAAGATTTAGAAAAAGGCAAGAAGCCTATTGATTTTGGAATCAATAGGTCGAATGTCAAAGTTACTGTCACTAAAGATAGAAAAAAAGAATGGTCACTTGAGTTCTTTGTCTTGATTGGAATAATACTTATACATATGGAAGACATAGGGAAGGGGATGAAGCATATTGATTTTTGGGGCCATATGTCAACATCACTGTTATTAAACATATTTTTTTGGGGAAAAAGAGTTTCAAGATGGTTACTTGAGTTTCCCTTAAATTAATGGAATTAAACTTATACAGATGGAAGATAAAGGGAAGGGGAAGAAGCCTATTATTTTTGGGGGTCAATAGGTAATGGGACATTATCACTATATATGAAAGTAAAATTAAAGAACTTTGCTAGATGCTTTTTCTTTTTATCTTTGAGAAGGGTATATAGGAATTCTGCTTCAAATGACTACAAAACAAATCGGCCATTAGGGTTGCACATTTAGTACTCATTGAAATATCAATCCAACAAACTCAACAACTACGTTGTCCATCAAAAAGTCCAGCATTTTGATGATTTAAAAAGAAGATATGGTATGATTGCCAATGAGACAACTCTCCACAAGAGACCAAATGACACAGAAATAAACAATTATAGGTCACCGTACGGCCTTCAACAATTAGTAAAACCCATACCGCATAGTCAGCTATAAAAGGCCCAGAAATGACAAATGTAACACAATTCAAACGAGAAAAACTAACGGCCTGATTTATGTACAAAATAATGAACGAAAATCAAATATGATATACAGCAACAAACGACAACCACTATATTACAGGCTCCTGACATGGGACAGGCGCATATAGAATGTAGCAGGGTTAAACTAGTTTGAAGGCGCCAACCCTCCCCTAACCTGTGACAGTGGTGTAACAGTACAACATAAGAACAAACTATAAAAATCAGTTGAAAAGGGCTCAACTCATCAGATGAATACAAAGCAGAAATACATCTGACAAAAACCCTTTAGAGTAGACGTGGCAGGTACTTATACATCCCCAAAACAAAAAGACACTAAGTTTAGATTTGAGAGTACTTGCAGTTACTGACAGCTAATTCAAAGCCAACAACAACTAATAAAAAAGATCTAAGACTAAAATATCAATCAGTACACATCCAACGTCCAATGGATTTAGTGTAAAGACGTTATTAACAGTCCGAGAAAAACATGACCTTGTGCAATGCCAAGATACAGGTATTGACAGATTGTAGAGCCATGAATGTGCATATGTATATAAAAATTATATTTAGTTTGATTTTAATTTACTGATAACAAAATCAATACTAATACCAATAAAAACAATATTCAAAGATCTAATTATAGTGTTGAATTGGTAACCAAACTTCCAAACTAAATCTTTATATCTATGGAAGAATTTAGTAAAGGTTTTAAGTAATTTGTGGATTGAAGAGTATATATACATCTGCTGTAGGTTTTACAAATGCACAGAATGGGGTCATAAGACGAGCTCCACATTTCCTTATAATCCATATCAGTGGATCCCAGACTCCCAAAAAATTGCTCAAAGTAACCCGGAGTCAATAATATGGAGCCTGGAATCCAGAGCTCATGTTTTCTCCAAACAAAAGGTATAGAAAACATGCTTAATAGATGTGACACAAACCAAACTAATTTGCATTTGTAAAATAGGATAAAAGCAATTAAGGGTATATTTAACTTTGAAACTAAAAATAATGATCGGTTTATATAATTATCAGAAATACTAACTTACCTTATACATTTATTATGTTTCCCTGCGATGAAGGGAGTCACAAGTAGTTAGTAGTTATTAGTCATTAACATTCAGAGAAAAACATGACCTTGTGCAATGCCAAAATAAGAGATCGACAGATTGTAGTACCGTTAATGTGCATATGTATATAACAAAACTATGTGTATGATTTTGATTTACTGATAACAAAATCAATATTTATACCAATAAAACAATATTCAAAGATCTAATTACAGTGTTGAATTGGTAACCTTTTAGAATAAGTTTATTTAAAGGATTGATAAGTTTACCCGGATCGTATATAAATTTCCGGGCTCGGTAAGCAACATCACAGTAAAATTTAGGATGTGCTATTCCGTCTGAAATATGTTTTTTTTACAGGTAAAGCCAAACTTGCAAAACAAATCTTTGTATCTATGAAAGAATTTAGTAAAGGTTTTAAGTAATTTATGGTAACGAAATCCCTGACTTAATAATTTACCAGTAATGCATAGATTACGCTCATTGAAACCCAAAACGTCACTACAGACACGGGCATAAAGAACGAGGTGGGATATATAAACACCGTAAATAAAGGCAACAGTAGTATACCGCTGTTCAATAGTCATAAATCGGTTTAACTGAAACAAATCCGGGTCACAAACCAAAACCGAGGGAAACACATCAACTATAAGAGGAAAACAACGGAACAACAGAAACTGAACTGCTACAAAAACAAACGCCAACATACATAGAAACGGACTATTTGATAACAACTGCCATATTCCTGACTTGGTACAGGACATTTTAAGAAAAAATGGTGGGTTGAACCTGGTTTTATGGCTAGCCAAACCTCCCGCTTATATGGCAATGTTAAAAATACAGCTAAAATGACAAAATTACGTGACAGGAATACAGTACAAATAAACGCAAGAACACTCAGGACAGAGACATACATAGATAAATAATATAATAGTACATTACAACATGTAAACCACAGAATAACAACGGAAACCTCCCATGTACACCACAATAGAATTATGTACTGTGCGTCACACGAATGTATCAACGCCACAAAAAGTGACGTCACAGGTAAATTTCTAAAAATAGAATATGAAATTGGGATTGAGTTTGTAATGGTGCCAGAGGAACATCACCGTCCAAAAAAGGAAAATTAACAATAGAGAAAGAAAAATCATCCCTTTTGTGGTAAGTTGTGTAGAGTTTCTAGTGTAAAACTGAAATATCTAAATCTAGGAAAGAACACTTATTGCTGTTAATATTGGATTTATTTAAAGTAAGTTGTTGTGGGTAAGTTTCGGGAGTATATTTAGAGAATTCTTGATTATTTAACGAAAAAATATCATCAATATAACGGTAAGTGTTGTTGAATTTATCAATTAATTTACTGAGTTTGGCCATAAACTGATTCATGACAGTACAAGAACAAGTCTGCTATTAAAGGGGCACAATTGCTGCCCATAGGAATACCTGCAATCTGTCGATAAACTTTATTGCCGAAACGTACATAAATGTCAAGGAGAAAATTTATGGCTGTAATCATCTCATCACAACTCCAGTAAGTATATCTAGCATATTTACCTTTCTCGTTTGAGAAAAAGGCTTTATATGAGTTGCAGCAAATAAATTTGCAATTAGATTTATCGAACGACCATTTAATTAAATAGGAAAACTTTTGTTTGATAAGATTGTATGGAAGTGTAGTGTAAAGAGTGGTAAAGTTAAACTGTCAACTGAATCAAAAGGATGATCAAAAGCACGTAATTTTCTAAAACATCCAAAGAATTGTTTTCACTCCAAAAATGGTTAATTCCACTATTTTCATATGTTTATTACAAAAAAATAATGATCAGTTCTTTGATAGTAGTTAAGGAACTCGTTAAAACCACTGACATTCTAGTAGTAGAACACTTACTAGAGGCCGAGA